GAGAGAACCCACGCTGCACAGGGAGAACATGCAACTGCGTATTCCTTCACGTACTCATGATTGGATAATAATAAAAAAACATGTAGCCAAGGAAGGTAGAAAAACAGAAAATGCCAACATGATCTGATTAAACCACAGAGTCCTCGAAGGATCCTAAAAACATCATCTAGGTGAACAGAGTCACCAGAAGAACACAGACATGCTGATAAATAGACAAAGGCCGTCAATTTAAAGCCTCACAAACAATTCTTGATCTTGATACCTATGTGTCGTCATGGCAGCCCAACAATCCTCTAGATGGGAATATTGATCTGAGTGGTGCAAAGCTCAATTGCAATCTGTATTTTATTTTATTTTTTAAATCAAGCACCATTTCCATCTCACTTTGCAGTTGTCTTGGGCTTTTTAGCATTTCCATAACTGGCTTGATGACAGCCTTAGCTGTGTTCTTTACTGCCTCCCCTACTGAGTCTGCTTTATCAGCTTCTTGATACCCTACATAACCTCCCACTGCTGCACCTACAGCAGCACCAACTCCTGCATCTACACCAGATGCTCTGGCTCCTCCGCCTGCTTACATTCACTTAAGTTTTGCGAGAACTGCTATAACCATAAATGCTGTACCCAGTAGACCTCCCCCCAATACTCCTACAGTGATGACAGCTGCTCTCTTGAGATGATCTGAGACCTTGCTCTTTGCCTGCTGCGTGATAAATTCTGGCGACATGCCTTTTTTTGACGTTCTAATGCGCTCTTCCTCCTGTTGTATTGCTTTCTTCACTGCTCGCAGCGTCTCATTGGTGTAGCGCCCTCTACTCGCCGCTATTTGTTTTACTGACTCGAGCAGCTTTGCCACCTGGACCTTGTTGTTTCTGTATTCATCCTGCTGGTTGTTCTTCCAGTACTTGTTATCAACAACGTGGCAGCGTTTCCCACATTTCTCCAAGAGACCACACAGACGCTCATTTCCACCGACAAAGTCCTCAATCTTCATGTTGTCAGGAAGCTGGTCACCGTGAGTGAAGACAACTACAGCGTGTTTGAAAGCTTCCTCGGAAAAATACCCTGTTATCCTGGAAACAACCTCGTTCTCATGCTCAGTGAATTTCTCAACTTTAAGTAAAATGAGGAAAGCATCAAGCCCATCAGAGCACTCTATGAGAGAATCTATCATCTCAGACTTCAGCTTATCGTCAGACCTGCGATTGTCAAAGAAACCAGGAGTATCAATCACAGTGATGGATCCTCCACCAACTTGTCTGGTTTCTTTCTGACATTTACTTGTTCCAGAGTTTGCACTATCATCGATCTTAAACACAGGCTCTCCAAGTATCATTTGGCCCAAGCTGCTTTTCCCAGCTCCAGTTTTCCCCAGCAGGGCCATCCTTATGTGTTGTGCTAGAAGAGAATAATGACATATATCATATATTAATAGTACTTTGTACACACAGTAGTCAGAAATGACTATAAACAGGAACATCACTTCAGCTTGTCAGAAATAGTGACTATGGTTTGAGTGTTTTGTGTGTCTACAAGTTCATGCAGTTTCTCAGCATCTGTTGTCTTGTGAAACAATCATTCATAAGGTTAAATAAATAATTTCAGTAAATGTGGATAACAAATGGAAAAACACTGGTTTGAAGTAGGGATGTCTGATAATGGCTTTTTTTTTTTTTTTTGCCAAAAACCGATATGCCAATATTGTCCAACTCTCAATTTCTGATTCTGATATCCAGCGATACCGATATATATGTGGGCTATTTCATTGATTTTAGGTAACATCTAGGGCTGGTCTGAATCGCAATATCTGGGCTCCGGATATTTGGGCCCAATTAATGACGAATTTGACAGGATATTATTCATTTATTTATATTATTTGTTTCTTTCTTGTTTCTCGGACACGTTATAAATGCAAAACACACAAAACACAATCTGCATGTATGACTCATGTAAACCTGCTTATGTGCCATTTGTAGAACAATGCTACAGATGACACAGAAAGGCTGATACTGATGTGAAAGCATTTTCTGTTACACATTAAGTGTGGGGCAGTAATTGTGTTCCTGACCGGTTTTAAAAACAGCAACCATTAGACAATGGTAGGTGTGGTAAACTGGTTCTGCATTCTTAGTCTGACACACCTTGTAGCTGCATCTACATCAATGTTCCCAAACAACCTTCCATTAAATGCTGTTCAACTCAGTGTTGCCTTTTTAGATATTTCATTAAGATAGATGCTAACAAATGAAACCAAAGCATTACTTTCATGGTAGAGACAAACAGAAACATGTCAGTGTAAACAGTGTACAAACAGCACAGTTCAGTTAGTAATGTTCCAGCTGGCAGGCAACGTTCGCTCAACATTGGCTAACGTTAGTTAATAGTTCTAATCTTTTTTTCTTTCTTTTTTTTTGGAAAGGAAACATTTGTATTAAATGTTTAAAAGGGGGTTTTAAAAATATTTTCATTTCCAATATTGTTCCTATAAAGTCATTATATTGTTCTATCAATAACATTTAGGGAATGTTGTCTGGAACACAGATTGTGTTCCATGGTAACAAATGAGGAACATTCCCAATCTTTTATAAACAGAAAGTTTTCCAAATGTAATCAAAACCTCCGAGGATGTTTGAACAAAAACGCAACATCCTTCCTGTAATGTTGTGAGAATGTTCTATAATATGACATTTCCATAATGATACGAAGGGCGGATGTCTTCAATGGAACATTTGGAAAACATTTTGAAGACTTTATCATGACCTAAGATGACAGAACGTGGTATAATGTTCCTATAATGTGATATGTTAAAGGTAGAACATTTTGCCTTTTCGTTGAAGGAACATGTAATAGAAAATCCATCCAAATAATGCTTGGACGATGATACAAAGGTAGAATGTTCTGTCTTTGGCACAGAGAGGTTCAGTTGCGGGTCTCAGCAGCTCTTCTCAGGTCGTCATCGTCCATCCATTTTACTCTGTCTGTCTGGGGTCTGATGGGTTGGCAGCAGACTAAGCAGGTCATTCCAGAACTGCCTCCACCGAGATCAGGGTCGACCCTGGGGTCTCCACCCAGCTGGATGTGACTGGAAAACCTCCAAAGTATCCAGGAGGCATCTTAATCAGACACCTCGAAGTCCATCCATCGGTTTCTGGTACAGAATCATGGCCTCAGACTTGGAGGTGCTGACTCTCACTTAACACTGCCTTGGTGCTCGCTGAAGCTCACAACATGATCAAACTAACAGAACTACATCATCCGCAGAAAATCAGAGATGCAACTCTGAGGTCTCCAAACCAGACAGCTTCCTCGCTCTGGCTGCACCTTAAGATCCGGTCAGTGAGTCTCACAAACAGGATCAGAGTGACAAGAGGTATCACTGGTGGAGTCCAGCACTCTGATCAGTCAGTCAGTGAACAGATGATGATGATGATGATGAGCGCCGTGGCTCAGTCAGTCAATACATGCAGGAGGATGTTGAGTGAATTCACAGGAAGGGGAGGAAACTGTTCTTTACTTTTCAATTTGGTTTAGTTCACTTCATCGTTGACTGAATAGGATCAAGGCAGACACACTAAAGCAGGTTCAGCAAACAGTTATCTTAAAAAAACGATCATGGTGAAATCTTTTGCTTTAATAGCTGGCATCCTGTACAATCTCCATTTCCTCTGCCTGCTACAGGACTCTGTGTGTTTCTTTTCCCACTGCTGCTGCTTGGACTTTAAAAATAAGCAGCACAACTATGATGGCTGCCACACCGAACAAGGCTCTCACAGGTTGTCGTGTTGCACGTTTCATCCAATGCCTCACGATTCTGAGGAAAGACACCAGAGCTGGGTTTCTTTGCTGTCTCTTCCATTCCTGCAGCATCTCAGTGCTGTAGCAGCCTCCTCCGTTTTCCTTCACCATGTCATTGATTGTATGAAGCAGCTGTGCCACCTGGAACTGGTTGCTCCTGTATTCACCCTGCTGGTTGTTTTGCCAGTATTTGTTATCGACAACGTGGCACCGACCGCCGCATTTCTCCACCAGGTCTTTCAGATGCTTGTTATTGCTGATGAAATCCTTAATGTTCATGTTTTCTGACAGCTG